ATCAATTATGAAATACTCTATCGTTTGCAGAATTATACTTCAACAAGTCTTCCAGAAAGGAAGAAATTCAGAACTTTTAGTGAAGCAAGACCTGGAGCTGAGCATGATCAACAACTATGTCAGTGTTGATCTGATTCTTTTGAGGTGTCCGCTGTGTGGGCCGTTTTTTTCTGGCACACCCTTAGTTAATCAGTGCTTCTAACTACTACCCTCTTTCCCTGGCAGTTTGGCTTGCTATTTCCTTTCTCTGCTCTCTGCTCTAAAATCAGTCTGTGGGTTGCTGCCCTTGTCAGGTATCCTGGGAGAGAGATTGGCTACAAGGCTACTCAGCCATTGTGGCCTCTTTTCTATCAGCAGGACACCTTCTAAAGCAGTCCGATTGGAGCCAGGGGCTGGTGCTTCTGGGCAGGAGATGTCATTTGAGTTCTTTGTGCCACCCCCATAGCAGGTGCCTCTCCTACATTTTTTTCCCCAATGTTTTATTACGTATACTTAAAAAAAAAAAAAAAAAAAACTACTCTAGATTCTTCAGGGAGCTGCTTGGGAGGCCAGCTTTGAGACAGGCATGTGTTGCCCTGGATGCTAGAGATGTGCCTTCTTGCCTCACTTGTTTCATTTTTCTTTCTGCTCCCACAGAAACAGTGAGTGAGGAGGATAAAGCAAAGATTGGTAAAAGCAAGAAGAAGATGAGGCAGAAGGTACAACGGGGAGAGTGTCAGACTACTATCCAAGCGCAGGTGAGGGACATCAGAGAAATTACACAGGTTAATTTTTCCTACAACCTACTTCATCTTTTCATCTCCCACATCTGCCACTCCTTGCGTAGCAGCATATCTCCATTACCCTGAAATTTCTTGCACTTGATTTAGAGAATTGAGCTTGTTCAAAAATAACATGGGCATCTCTAGGGTGAGAGAATCAATCCATTGCCAACCCCTCATTCCATCTCTCACCTCTCCTCCCCAGCACCCTTGTCTGTTTTTGAATCCTAGCCCAAGCAGAGATGCTTTCAGAGTTTGAGGAGAAATGACTTCCCTTATGGTTTACAGGCCAAAAACAAGCGGAAACAAGAGACCAAGAGCTTAAAGCAGAAGGAAGCTAAGAAGAAATCCAAGGTAGGTGCATTTACACGCTTGCAAGTATAATTTCGAAGCCACTAAACTGATTTTGCAAGATATGTACATCAGTCTTGTTTTATAGTGAGATTTCTGGGCTGTGAGGTTGGGAGGACTGAGACCAGGGAAGGTTAGTAACTGGTATCTTTATGGCACTCTTGGTTCCTCTTTTCCTTGGGTAGGCCGAGAAAGAAAAGGTAAAGACAAAGCAGGAAAAATTGAAGGAAAAAGTCAAGAGAGAAAAGAAGGAGAAGGTAAAAATGAAGGAAAAGGAGGAAGTGGCCAAAGCCAAGCCAGCCTGTAAAGCAGATAAGACCCTGGCCACACAGAGGCGCTTGGAGGAACGGCAGAGGCAACAGATGATCTTGGAGGAAATGAAGAAGCCGACAGAGGATATGTGTCTGACTGACCACCAGGTAGTGAGGAGAGAGTAACAATTCCTGGGTCATGGAGGGGCCAGTTGGGAAGACTTTCCTTTTGAAAAGTACAGGGATTTCTGCAATGGGAGAGACATTTCCATTAAAGATTAAAGGGGCTGGGCACGGTGGGTTTTGCCTGTAATCCCAGCACTTTGGGAGGCCGAGGGGGTCAGATCATCTGTCAGGAGTTCAAGACCAGACTGACCAAAATGGTGAAATCTCATCACTACTAAAAATGCAAAAATTAGCCAGGCGTGGGGCACATGCCTGTAATCCCAGCTACCCAGGAGGCTAAGGCAGGAGAATTGTTTGAACCCAGGAGGTGGAGGTTGCAGTGAGCTGAGATCACACCACTGCACTCCAGCCTGGGTAACAGAGTGAAACTCCGACTCAAAAAAAAAAAAAAAAAAAAAAAAGGAAGGCTGGGTGCCATGGCTTACATCTGTAATCCCAGCACTATGGGAGGCTGAGGCGGGCAGATTACTTGAGCCTAGGAGTTCAAGAGCAGCCTGGGCAACATGGCAAGGCCTTATCTCTACAGAAAATATAAAAATTAGCTGGGTGTGGTGGCATGCCCCTGTAGTCCCAGCTATTTGGAAGACCAAGGTGGGAGAATCACTTGGGCTTAGGAGGTTGAGGGTGCAGTGAGCAGAGGTTATGCCACCGCACTCCAGCTTGGGTGACAGAATGAGATCCCTATCTCAAAAAAAAAAAAAATCACATAAAGATTAAAGGAACCCTTTGTAGACTTCCAAATTGTCACCTTCTGTTATGTTTAACAGAACACCCTACTTACTTTTATCTCTCCAGCCCCTGCCTGACTTCTCACGAATCCCTGGTCTGACATTGCCCAGTAAGGCCTTCTCAGACTGCTTGACCATTGTGGAGTTCCTGCATAGCTTTGGCAAGGTGCTGGGCTTTGATCCTGCCAAAGATGTGCCTAGCCTGGGGGTCCTGCAGGAGGGACTCCTGTGTCAAGGCGACAGCTTGGGTGAGGTGCAAGACCTGTTGGTGCGGTTGCTGAAAGCTGCACTCTATGATCCTGGCTTGCCCTCCTACTGTCAGGTGAGTGCAAGTCCCTCCCAGAGTAATCTGGACAAGTAAAGGCAATACAACTACTTATTTTTTCTCTTTTCCTTATATTTTTCATTTCTTTTTCTTCCTGACTCCTCACTCCTTACTTTGTTTTTATTTTATTCCTTTTCTTTTGTGGTCTTCTTTCGTGCTCCATCATAACCCTGATAGTTCTCTTCTGATGTATTTTCCTCTCGCACATTCACCCAACTTGGTTGTCTTTCCCTACTCACTCCTATTATGTTCTCTTCCACACAGTCCCTAAAGATCTTGGGGGAGAAGGTGTCTGACATCCCGCTGACAAGAGACAATGTGTCAGAGATCCTGCGCTGCTTCCTTATGGCATACGGAGTAGAGCCAGCCCTCTGTGACCGCCTGCGCACCCAACCTTTTCAGGCCCAGCCACCCCAGCAGAAGGCTGCTGTCCTGGCCTTCCTTGTGCACGAGCTCAATGGCTCTACCCTCATCATCAAGTGAGAGGCTGGGAGTGGGGATGGTCATTGTATCCCTTGCATCAGAATGGGCTGGAGGACTAGCCTTCCAGAAGTCCTCAGAAATGTGTGTTCACTGCCATGCTCTGAAGTGACTTGGGACTGAATTGCAGTGCCCTCCCTGGGATAGCCTAAGCCTTTCTCTGTCATTCATCTGATCTAGGTTCTAGGCTGAAACTCCTTTTTCAACTGCAGCCCCTTTATCCTTGAGCCTCCTTTTCCTTTTTTTGTGCTGCCACTTCATCCCATTCCCTATTCCCCTGCAGTGAGATTGACAAGACTCTGGAGAATATGTCCAGCTACAGGAAGAACAAGTGGATTGTTGAAGGCCGGCTCCGGAGGTAGGGATCAGACAGAGGGTAGCGCCCAGAGAGAGGAGAGAAGTGGGGAGGGTGAAGCACAGCCAGGATTTTGGCCTGAAATGCAGTGCCTTTAACCCCTTCCCTGGGTTTGGGACTTTACTAGGGACCAGGATGGTTTAGAGTCCAGGTGTTTCTTTTGCGGCACTATCATGTTCCTCATCAGTTTCCCTTAATCTTTTTTTTTTTTTTTTTTTTTTTGAGATGGAGTCTTGTTTTGTCGCCTAGGCTGGAGTGCAGTAGTGTGACCTTGGCTCACTGCAACCTCTGCCTCCTGGGTTCAAGCGACTCTCCTGCCTCAGCCTCCCAAGTAGCTGGGATTTCAGGCCCCCACCACCACACCTGGCTGATTTTTGTATTTTTGGTAGAGATGGGGTTTCACCATATTGGCCAGGCTGGTCTCAAACTCCTGACCTCAGGTGATCCACCTGCTTCATCCTCCCAAAGTGCTGGGATTACAGCCGTGAGCCACTGCGCTTGGCCTTTCCTTAATCTTTCTCCATCTATTTCAAGACTGAAAACTGCTCTGGCCAAGCGAACGGGGCGGTCTGAGGTAGAGATGGAAGGGCCAGAGGAAGGCCTGGGACGGAGACGCAGTTCTCGGATCATGGAAGAGACCAGTGGCATGGAAGAAGAGGAAGAAGAGGAGACTATAGCAGCTGTCCATGGCCGCAGGGGTCGAAGAGATGGAGAGGTACTGGCCCAAGATCAAGGAAAGTGGGAGTTAGAAAATAGATTCCCGTTTCTTGAATCTGATAACTTCCTTTTTCTCAATGGCCACGTGTGTCTTCCCAGGTTGATGCCACAACATCTAGCATCCCAGAACTAGAGCGCCAGATAGAAAAACTCAGTAAGGTATTGTGCTCCTAACCTCCCAAGAGTTGGAGATGTGGGCTGGGCAAGAATTGATCACTTATTTTTTTTTTTTTATTTATTTTTTTTGAGACGGAGTTTCGCTCTTGTTGCCCAGGCTGGAGTGCAATGGCGCGATCTCGGCTCACCGCAACCTCCGCCTCCTGGGTTCAGGCAATTCTCCTGCCTCAGCCTCCTGAGTAGCTGGGATTACAGGCACGCGCCACCATGCCCAGCTGATTTTTTGTATTTTTAGTAGAGACGGGGTTTCACTATGTTGACCAGGATGGTCTCGATCTCTTGACCTCGTGATCCACCCGCCTCGGCCTCCCAAAGTGCTGGGATTACAGGCGTGAGCCACCGCGCCCGGCTGATCACTTATTTTTTAAATTTAATTTTAATTTTTATTCTTTTGAGATGGGGTTTCTATTACCCAGGCTGGAGTGCAGTGGCACGATCATGGCTCACTGCAGCCTTGACCTCCTGGGCTCAGGTAATCCTTCCAAGTAGCTGGGACCACAGGTGGGAGCCACCATGCCTGGCTAATTTTTGTAGTTTTTTTAGAGATAGAGTTTTTGCATGTTACCCAGGCTGGTTCTGAACTTCTGGGATCTAGCAGTCCACCTGCCTCGGCCTCCCAAAGTGCTGGGATCACAGGTGTGAGCCACCGCACCCAACCTTAATCACCTTCTGAGTTAGGCCCAGGTGGTATCACTTTTATAGAGGGAGTAAGAGCATTTGCCTTTCTCTGCTACACTAGATGAATTCACCATCGCTCTGGAAATGTGTTTATTTGTCATCATTTTCATTGTCTACCCAGCGTCAGCTTTTCTTTCGCAAAAAGCTGCTTCACTCATCCCAGATGCTTCGGGCAGTCTCCTTGGGCCAAGACCGCTACAGACGTCGCTATTGGATATTGCCATATTTGGCTGGTATCTTTGTAGAAGGAACAGAGGGGAACTTAGGTAGGTGCGTCTGTGGGAATGTGGAGTCTGAGTCCTATCAAACAAAAATTAAATAATTCCCTTTACTTAGTAGTCTTGGGCTTCTTTCATTTTCTGATAATATAGCATAATGCTTAAGAGCACATATTCTAGAGTAAAGCTGCCTACCCACCTGCTCTGCCATTTACCAGTTGTATGTTTCTGTTTCTTCATTTGTAAAGTTGAGATAATAATAGTATATGTACTTCATAAGGCTACTGAGAGGATTAAAATGAGTTAAGTCTCTTAGAATAATACTTAACCTGTAGTTGGTTTGCAGTAAATGTTCAGCATATGATGGTGATTACTTAGGAGAATAGTGTTTCTTCCCCAGATACTGTGTTCACTGGCATATAAGCTCTTCCTAGTGGAATCTCAGAAAAGGGGGACTAAGTCTAAGAGAAAGAGTATAGGTTCTAAGTTTGTACACCCTCTTACTTTCCCCTTGTATGTTAGCATATGTCTTAAGCTCTTTACTTCTCTTTACAGTTCCTGAGGATGTGATAAAGAAGGAAACTGACTCCTTAAAAGTGGCAGCCCATGCCTCACTCAACCCTGCACTCTTCTCTATGAAGATGGAGTTAGCTGGCTCCAACACTACTGCCAGTTCTCCTGCCCGGGCCCGAGGCCGACCTCGAAAAACTAAGCCTGGGTCTATGCAGCCTCGGCACCTGAAGTCCCCTGTCAGGGGTCAGGATTCAGAACAGCCTCAGGCACAGCTTCAGCCTGAAGCTCAGCTTCACACTCCTGCCCAGCCCCAGCCTCAGCTTCAGTCCCATCCTCAGTCCCATAAGGGGTTCCTGGAACAAGAAGGCTCCCCTTTGTCACTGGGTCAGAGCCAGCATGACCTCAGCCAGTCAGCTTTCCTATCTTGGCTGAGCCAGACTCAGAGCCATAGCTCCCTGTTGAGCAGCTCAGTCCTCACACCTGACAGCAGTCCTGGAAAATTAGACCCAGCTCCATCACAGCCCCCGGAGGAGCCAGAGCCTGATGAGGCAGAATCCAGCCCTGATCCTCAAGCACTCTGGTTTAACATCTCAGCCCAGATGCCCTGCAATGCTGCCCCTACACCACCCCCTGCAGTTTCTGAGGACCAACCCACTCCCTCCCCTGAGCAGCTTGCCTCCTCCAAGCCAGTAAGTAGCCAGAATTAGTAGTATGCACTTGATTTCATCTTGCCACAGGCACCAGTGCCTGGCTGTGGAGCTGCTGCCTGAAGTTGAGGGAACCTAGAAATATGAAAACATCCTCATTTCCTTATATCTCATTTTTTTCACAGATGAATAGACCCAGTGCTGCCAACCCTTGTTCTCCAGTGCAGTTCTCTTCCACGCCTTTGGCTGGGTTGGCCCCTAAGAGGCGAGCAGGAGACCCTGGAGAAATGCCACAGAGTCCCACAGGGCTGGGACAGCCCAAACGAAGAGGGAGACCTCCCAGTAAGTTCTTCAAACAGATGGAACAGCGTTACCTAACCCAGCTGACAGCCCAGCCTGTCCCCCTTGGTGAGTGATCTTGGGGTGAAAGTGGAGTGAGAGTGGCATTCGGTGTGGGCAGTGATTCACAGCTGGCACCGCATATCTATCTCACCTGCTCACAGAGATGTGCTCAGGCTGGTGGTGGATACGAGATCCTCAGACATTGGATACCATGCTCAAGGCCCTACACCCCCGAGGTATCCGAGAGAAGGCACTTCACAAACACCTTAACAAGCACAGGGACTTCTTGCAGGAAGTCTGCCTACGGCCCTCAGCTGGTAAATACATTCCTACACACAGCTTGAGCTGAAGAGCCCAGGGTGAGGATTGAGCTTCTGGTATGGACAACAGCCTGATGGGCCTCTCCCTCTGCCTCCTCTTTTCTCAGACCCCATCTTTGAGCCCAGGCAACTACCTGCCTTTCAAGAAGAGATCATGAGCTGGTCCCCCAAAGAGAAGACATATGCGACAGACCTAGCAGTGCTTCAGTGGGTTGAAGAGCTGGAGCAGCGGGTTATCATGTCTGATCTGCAGATTCGGGTATGCTGTGATTGGCACTGTGTAGGAAGTTGTTTGAGAAAAGCGTTAGTCCCTTTTGCCCTGTTAGAAAAAAACCCTGGGTCCCTACTCACAGGCAACCTACCATGACCTTAAACGGTCATTTTTTTTTTTTTTTTCTATGCCGAATTTTCCTCCTTTTACAGTGAGTTTTGTTCCTCTCTCTTAACTGAAGGGGTGGACATGTCCTAGCCCAGACTCTACCCGTGAAGACTTGGCCTACTGTGAGCACCTCTCCGACTCCCAGGAGGATATCACCTGGCGAGGTCGGGGCAGGGAAGGACTGGCACCTCAGCGTAAAACTACCAACCCTTTGGACCTGGCTGTGATGCGGCTGGCTGCCCTAGAACAGAATGTAGAACGGCGGTACCTGCGGGAGCCCCTCTGGCCAGCTCATGAGGTTGTGCTGGAGAAGGCCCTGCTTAGCACGCCTAATGGTGCCCCTCAGGGCACCACTACAGAGATGTGAGTGACTCCCACCCTCCATTCTTGGTCTTAGAGAGAAAGGGATAAGCTCCCTCTTTAGTGGATCCTGTTCCTTATCCAAAGATCACCACTTTTTCCCTCCAGATCATATGAGATCACCCCTCGCATTCGTGTATGGCGCCAGACCCTCGAGCGGTGCCGGAGTGCAGCCCAGGTGTGCTTGTGCCTGGGCCAGCTAGAGAGGTCCATTGCCTGGGAGAAGTCGGTCAACAAAGTGGTAAGAGGCTGACAGACCCTGGAAAGGCAGAGGGGCCAGCCAGCAGGGGCGGGTGGGGTCACTGGCAGGTAGAGGATTGAGAGCTCACTCTGCCTCCTCACAACCTTGGTCCAGACGTGTCTAGTCTGCCGGAAAGGTGACAATGATGAGTTCCTTCTGCTTTGTGATGGGTGTGACCGTGGCTGCCACATTTACTGCCATCGTCCCAAGATGGAGGCTGTCCCAGAAGGAGATTGGTTCTGTACTGTCTGTTTGGCTCAGGTAAGACTTCTGCTCTTTCTTTCCCACACTCAAACAGAAAGCAGAGATTATCCTCAATCTCTTCTCTCATTGGAAAGCGTCCCAGACTGGATGTTAGGGGATGTGGGTTCTAAGTCCTTTTTGGACAAGTCACTTAATTCTGTAGCTTTAATTACTTTTTCTATAAAATGAGAATAGCTGTATCTTTTTCCCTTTTACCTACTTTATTGGGTTATGTGAATAAATCAGTGCCAACTTATGCGTGATGGTATTTTGAAGCCTTAAATCACAATCAGGCAGAGATTTAGTAGGGCAAGCAGTGCATCTCCAGCTATTGCCAATCTCACCTGTTTGCTATACTCAGCAGGTAGAGGGAGAATTCGCTCAGAAGCCCGGTTTCCCAAAACGAGGCCAGAAACGGAAAAGTGGTTATTCCCTGAACTTCTCAGAGGGTGATGGCCGCCGACGTCGGGTACTGTTGAGGGGCCGAGAAAGCCCAGCAGCAGGGCCTCGGTACACGGAAGAAGGGCTGTCCCCCTCCAAGCGGCGGCGACTCTCAATGCGGAACCACCACAGTGATCTCACATTTTGCGAGTGAGTTGAGTAAATCCTGGGGTTGACAGTTGGCTCTTCCTCTGCCAGAGGAAAGGGCTGGGAGGGGTCAGAATATTTGCCTCCTGAGATGGAGCCATCACTGTCCCTATAATGATAGGATTATCCTGATGGAGATGGAGTCCCATGATGCAGCCTGGCCTTTCCTAGAGCCTGTGAACCCACGTTTGGTGAGTGGGTACAGACGCATCATCAAAAATCCTATGGATTTTTCCACCATGCGGGAGCGGCTGCTCAGGGGAGGGTAAGTAGATGAGGGTGCATCTCCCTGCTCTTTGCTACTGCTGCAACTCCTGCCCAGCTCACAGCTTTGCCCCTGCTCTGTCCAGGTACACCAGCTCAGAGGAGTTTGCGGCTGATGCCCTCCTGGTATTTGACAACTGCCAGACCTTCAACGAGGATGACTCTGAAGTAGGCAAGGCTGGACACATCATGCGCCGCTTCTTCGAGAGCCGCTGGGAGGAGTTTTATCAGGGAAAACAGGCCAATCTGTGAGGCAAGGGAGGTGGGGAGTCACCTTGTGGCATCTCCCCCCATCTTGCAAACAAAAACCTGCCATTTTCACCTGCTGATGCTGCCCTGGGTCCAGACTCAAGTCAGATACAACCCTGATTTTTGACCTTGCCCTTGGCAGTGCCCCACATCCTCTTATTCCTATATCCCTTTCTCCCTTTCCTCCTCTTGCTCCTCAAATAAGAGGTGCAGAGATGAGGTCCTTCTGGACTGAAAGCCAAAAAAAGAAAGAAAAAAATAATTTTTCTTTTCTGTTTTATTTCCTAATTAAAAATGGGGAGGGGGAAAGAATTCCCACTTCCTCCTCCCTGCTTCCTCTCCTCCCCTGTACGTGCCCCAGCGTTCTGGGGTTATTTAACAATAGCAATAGTTCTAGTGAATGTGTGAAACCAAGAAACACTCTGTACTGTGTGCGGACCCGCAGTGACGGCCAGTAAAGTGGACTTAACTCCTAAGTGTGTCGCGCCGGACACTGGGCCCTGGACATGCTGCTTCCATGCTCAGTCCCTTCCCTGCTTCTTGCTGTTTTTCTTTTCCTACTTCCCACCCTCCAAGTTTCAGTTCTCCCATCCAATAATGTAAAACTATCGTGTACGGGTTCCTCCCTCCTTTTCTCTTCTCCCAAACCTTTTCCCTTCAAAGGAAAAAAAAGTTCAGAGGTCCCTGTCTTTTTCTCTGTCCTCATCTTCCTGCCAATAGCTATCCCCTGTATGACGTTGGATGCTCCTCACATGCTGAGTTTCCAGCCTTTTCTGAAACTCAGTAGCTGGGGAGAGAGGGCAGGGAGGCCTCCTGGGCCTTCCAGCCTCCTTCCCCACTTCCTTCCCAAACCCTCTTGGGAACTCCTCAGGGACAACTACTGCTGAGTTTGGGTGCACCCTAAGATGGAGGCCAGGTAGCAATGGACTGGCCTCAGAGAACGAGCGTGCTGTGTGTGTGTGTGTGTGTGTGTGTGTGTGTGTGTGTGTGTGAGAGAAGATGCTGTTTTTGTTACCCTGTATTGTTTGATAGAATCCATTCAGTTTCCCCAAGTATGTTTTCATTCCCATCTTTCCCATTGTTTAAAACCATCACTTTTTTTGTCTTTGGGAAACCACAGGAACAATTTCTCTGGAGACAAGGCTGTGTCTCTCCTGGTCATTGTTGTTCTAGCCTCTTCAGACTGTGCAATCTTTCAGCAGGAACTCCCTCTCCTCTCGGTAGCTTTGAATCTTAAGCTTCTACAGGGAGAGTGGTAGAACTGGATCTTTTCCTAATCCCATTGAGTTGTGCTTTTCTTTTTTACTTCATACCGCAGGACCCCTTCCCCAGCAGCAGAGACCCTGGAGCACAGAAGAATAGGGAGGAGGGGTTCTGGGTCCATCACTGCCCTACATGTGACTGTGTCCCAAGTTAAGCCCCCAACATGAGAGGAGAGCTGCTGACTCCCAGCTATAGCCATGGGCGCTTGGTCCCCTGCTTTCCTGCTCAGCAGAGCCCCTCCCTTCAGAGATTACGGGTACTTGCACTGGGGAGGTGGCCGCTGGCTGGCCCAAGCAGAGAGCTGAGGCATCCAAGAAATGTTCCATTGGGGGTGGGGGTGCCAGGTGAGGTGGAGCATTCCTTGTATTCTGGCAGCACTGAAGAGCCACTGAAGGGGGTAGGGGCAGTGTAGGTAGGTCCTGGGGCAGCCCCTTTATTCCTTTATGCCCCTTCTCCCCCAGAGCCTATTTCTAAAGTCGCCTTTTCTGTCAGATAAACCTCAAAACTTTTAATTTTATTTGAGATTTTTTTTTTTTTGCTTTTAAATAAGAGGTGGATTGAAGAATATTTGAATTGACTTTATATTATGCATAAATATTTATATTTTATCTAAGTAACTGCGCTGTAACAAACTTTGTGTTAGACAGTTGAAACTGTTAGAGTTGGGGGCTCCACTTTTTCCCCCTGGCAGTTGTCCCTGGGTATAAGATGTGCTAGATTAATTTCATTGTTGGAGGTGAGGTGGATAGGGAATGAAATCTCCATGGTTCCTACTTTGTGTTCCTCTCCCAGCTCCATCTCTTTTGCTAGGGACCAGACACTCATATGGTAGGGTGGGGTCCTAGCCTCAGATTGAAGTGGGGGCCAGATGGGGGGGTGGGGATAGGACATGATCAAAGGGGCCATTTCTTGCTTTTCTTTCCTCATCTTCACTGCCCCCTTGAGCTAGGTGGATTTTCTCTTCACAACAAGAGTATTTGGTAGGGAAAGCAGGTTTAAAATGAAAAGCTAACCCACCCCCTGCCCTTTTGCTCCCCCCCCAATCGGTCTGGTTGACAGGAAGAAACCACACCGTCAACACCAACAAGTTTCCATGTTCCTTTTACAGCAAAAGGGACTTTTTATATAACCAAATGTGGTGTTTTAGTGACTTTTTGATAATGTACAGTTTTTTGTGAATTTAAATTTATTTCTTTCTATATTTTTAGGACCAATCTCATTTTTAATAAGGTGAAAAAAAAGTCTAGAGAAAAAAACTCCTGTTTTTGCCATGTGATGTTCCACAAGTGCAGCTGTAGAAAAGTGCTTGTCAGTTGAATAAAAAAAACCACATTTGATAGAGATTCAAAAGACTCTGTGTATTCATCCTCCCTTCTGTACACCGGGGGAGATGATGGGGTTGGGATGGGTAGGACTGGCTTAAGAGACCGCAGGTCGGGGAACAACACGTTCGCCTTTTCTGTGCAAATGGCACTAGAAGCCAGACTCCTGTTCCACACCGTTTGTGTGGATGGAAAGGGTTATTAGTGCTCCTGCCTAAATGTCTGGCTGAGTTGCTGGAGCAAAGTGGGATTCAGTGCACCCAGGTCCTGCCTTGTGAGATGTGGCCCCAGCTTTCTAAGCCGTCACCTGTGTTCCTGTCATAGCAAACATGGGCCCATCACCAGCTTCCCACTTCCCACTCATGGATAAGACACCAAGACGTAGACTTTTGTGTTTTATTAAAAGAAAAAGTTTGAAGTATGACAAAATGGACCTCTACCAAATTGTAGGGAAGGACAAGGAGAAGACCAGGGATAGAAAAAGAAGAGTAAGTTAGAATGGTGGCATTGGCATAGATGTGGGAAGTATATAACACTAGTCTCCAGATAAAAAGTACAAAATGTAAGAATAAACATTTTCTGTCCACATGAAAAAGGGTATTCACCCACCCAAAAAGGGTGTATGTTGGAGAGGGGACTTCACTCAGGCTAGAAAGTATTGCCCTCCAGCCTGGAAAATTTGTCTTGGTGAACGCCCGGAAGTGTATACTAAGGTAGAGAAGGAACATTTGCTTCCAGCCTTATATCACAAACTTCCTCTTTGGTATTTGGTTACCTTCACAGCCATACACCAGCCACTGACCAGCTTTCTTGTCCTCCAAGTTCTAAGCTCTGCTCCTATGCTGGTGTCCTCCAACCATCACTTATTACCCTAAGCAGTCACTGCACAGCCTCCTCCTCTGGCCTATCACATTAGGACCTATCTGGAGAGTTCACGCTATTCTAGGGTGATCAGTGAGCTAAAAATCCCAGAGAAAACATTCTAGGAATGGAAATTCCCAAGAGTTTTTACAATTATGAGCCTTTTCTAGTCCCCAGCTTCCCAACCCTCATAGAGAGAAGGAACGAAATAGGTAAATCAGGTATTTATGCCCTTGTTGAATTGTGAGATTGTGAGGTAGATGTGTAACAAGGACAAGGAAATTGGGGGATCTGCTTGGAAAATGCACATTTATTCAAAACAAGTGGACAGGTCAGGGGTAACTGGGGTGATGAGGGCACCTAGCTTTTGTCTAGTTATGTGGGAGACTGTGCCCTAGGAGGAGGAGCAAAGATCAGAAGGGAGACGGAAGCTCACAGTCTGGTTTTAGCTGCCGACTCCTATGGGAAGCCTACCAAATGAGGAAATTTCAGGAATCTGCTAATGCTTGGGAGGACTGAAAATGCAGGCAGCACAGAAATAGAGTAGTTAGTTTAAAAGGGAATCAGGAAGGATTGGTATAAAAAGGCACAAGGTTTGGAATTTACCCTTTACAGACTGGCTTTTATAACACCCACCCTCCTCTCTCAAGCCCGCTGATTCAGGGCTAGCAGAGCCTGGGGGCAAGGTTGGGCCAGATCACCCACCCAAGTTTACTGCCCTTGGCCAAGAATGCAAAGCCTCTCTTGAGTGCAATGTTGTCACTTTCCCAGAAGGTGGGGCATGTGCACAAGGCAGTGGCAATAGTTCTTTTCTAGAAGAATAGCAGTCACTGCTTCTAGGGGGATCCCTACCATTCCAGCAAGGCCTGTCACAGCATCTGTATGATGCAAAGTAACAGCTCACGTGCAGGCCTCAACTCCCAATGGGTTGACATTGGAGTGACAGGGAGTAGGCACTGGAGACATTGAGAATGAATGAGCTCACTGATTGGCAAGTTAGGAAAGGAAAGGGAATGGAATGGAGCTGAAGTGGCCCAACCTAAGCATGGCCTGTGAAGCAGCAATGTCTGATCTTCGTCCCCAGTATGAGTTCTGCCACTCCCTATGTGTTACTGAAAAGGTCTATTACCTGTTAGAGCCACCAGGCTTCCTAGCCTGGGCAACTCTTCAAATTCTTTGACTAAAGACACTACAAAGGGCCGGGTTTGGTGGGTAATCCCAGCACTTTGGGAGGCCAAGGCAGGCGGTTTATTTGAGCCCAGGAGTTTAAGACCAGCCTGGGCAACGTGGCGAAACCCTGTCTCTACTAAAAATACAAAAATTAGCCATTTGGAGGTTAGGAGTTAGAGACCGGCCTGGCCAACATGGTGAAACCCCATCTCTACTAAAAATACAAAAATTAGCCAGGCAGGATGGCGGGCACCTGTAATCCCAGCTACTCAACTAAAAAGGCCAGGCATGGTGGCTCTTGCCTGTAATCTCAGCACTTTGGGAGGCTGAGGTGGGGGGATCATTTGAGCCCAGGAGTTCAAGACAAGCCTGGGCAACATGGTGAAACCCCATCTCTACTAAAAATAAAATTAGCCAGGTGTGGTGGTATACCACTACTTGGTGGCGGGGGAAGGGGCACCTGAGGCAGGAGGATCACCTAAGCCTTGGGAGGTCGAGGCTCCAGTGAGCCAGGATGGTACCACTGCACTCCAGCCTGGGCCACAGGAGAACCTGCCTTTAAAAAAAAAAAAAAAAAACAAAAAAAAAAAACACCTTTTAAAGACAAAAAAAAAAAAAAAACCCCAAACATTAAAAATAACATCTCATCCAAGCATAAAAGCTCATACCTATAATCACAACATTTTGGGAGGCTGAAGTGGAAGGCTCACTTGACAGTTGTTCAAGACCAGTCTGGGCAACACAGTAAGACTCCTGTCCCTACAAAAAAACTTAAACTAAATGAGCATGGCAGTATGAGCCTGTAGTTCCAGCTACTCGGGAGGCTGAGGTGTAGTGGGCTATGACTGTACCACTGCACCCCAGCCTGGGTGACAGAGTGAGACCATCTCTAAAATATAAAAACATCTCTCTCCATCATCCCCACATCTTCCTGACCTCTCCTGGCACCCTCCTCCAAAAAGTCCAATCAGTTTAGGGTCTGAATATCAACTCAGAGCCTGAGATGTGGAGTTCTAACACTGTAAAGGATTACGCCATCTGAGGAAGGGACTCTGGTATGTTCTATTTGACTGAAAACAGAAAAATGCCAAGTACTAAAATATTTTAAGAATTTTATGAGCATCTGTAATGAGTTGGGGTGAGACGTAAAGTACAAAGAGAGTAAGATCTGAGCTCTGTGAAGACAGGATTCAGAAAACACTAGGCATAGTGTTTAAGAGCCCAACCCTAGGCTGTAAGCTGGAAGGCTCCCCCACAATTCCTCTGCCATCACCCCAACCAATTAGACTATTTTATGGGAGAAACAGTATCCCTCCTTTCCTCCAAACACTCACCCACTGTTACAAATGAACTAACAATTAGGTGGGAAAATGAGTGTAAACCCAAAGCACCAAAATGGAAATTCCTCAGTGCCATTAGCCACTGCAAAATAACTTGAGGCTCCCTATCACTTCCCACACCCAAAACAGAAAAACATGTAATACAATCTAACAAGTAGATTCACATGAGAAGCCCAAAAGGCAAATTCAAAATTTCAAACAAAAAATTAGGGCGATTTAAACATTTGTTTAACTATGGAGAAAGAAGACAGAATCAAGAGTTCTGTGAGGCAGAGGAGCGGGGAGTGGCCATATCAACAATGGTTTCTATGCATGAAAGGCCCTTCCTAAACCTCCTACCATACATAGCAAAGCTGCTTCTGTCTATCAAATGAACAGATTTCTAGATTTTCTCTCAAAGGCCACTGACAAGAAAGCAGCTATGGTATATTTTCCTTGACTGACAGCTGGAGACTCAAAAACAAAAGCTATCTGCCCAGCCGAAGCCCTCGAAAAGGCAGAAGGTAGTGGGTTTGGGGCTGTTTTACACTGGATGAGCCCCTCCTGAGGTTGGAAGCATCAAGAGGAAGACCACAGCAATTCTGTCCTTTACATTTTATATCCTCCCCATTGCCTCGCACTCCCTCACCCCCAGATGTACATAGAAAGTCGACACTAGGGGGCACTGGGACTCTCAATTCTGGGGTGGCTGGGAAGGGAGGGAAAGCTGGGCCAAGCTCTATGTCCCACAACTGATACTACAGTTTCTTCCTCCCTGCTGTCACCCCCTTCCTCTCCCTATGGCTCGCCTAATGAACACCTGTCTCTCTATCCTTCATCATTTGCTTTTGTTTGACTTGTTTGGTGGAGAGGCACCTGGCCTTGGAGTACAGGGGAGTGGAATTTTCCTTTCAGTGCATAAGGGAGTGACTGGGAGAAGACAGGAGCAGGATTTTACTTCCTAGAAGATGGGCGAGGCTTTCTTCAATCTGTCTCCATGTGTATAGTCACATCTTGCAGAAGGGAACATTTAAAGACCAAGACATAGGCTTTTTAAAAGGACTTAAAAGGACTCCTAACCTCACAAAGAGTTGGAATTTATTGCTCTTTTCTACCCTCGCTCCCTGTTTTCCTTCCATAAGAAGGAAAATTATTTCTGATGTCCTAGTTCCCTGGGCACGGGGTCCAAGCACACCAGGGCAGGGCAGGTCGCTCTGGACAGTTTAGAGAGCTTTGTCCTTTCCCACCGTTGCACAGCACACACCAGAAGAGTGCCCTGAATCCTTCTGAGCGCGTGTGTGCACTCAGCATGGAGCCACAATTCTTTCAAGGATCACTCTTGCTATATGCAGAGGTATCAAAGGTCAAAGTCTGGGGAGAATCCTAGGATCTCAGTCTGGTCCTTCCCAAACAGCTGCATGAGTATCAAAGGCACTGTCTGTCCAGGGTTTGGGCGAGCATTTACCCTAACGGAGGAGGCAGGGACAACACTGTCTATAGCAGTGTTTCCCAAACTTGGCAATACTGACCTCTGGAGTCAGATAATCCCTGATTGAGGGTGGTGGAGACTGTACTATGCAGTGCAGGATGGTTAGCAGCAACCCCGGTTTCCAGCCACTAGATGCCAGTAGCACACACATCTCACCTCCAGGCGTGGCAATCAAAAATGCCTCAATGTTGCCAAAGGCCTCTAAGGGACAAAACCGCCTCTGGTTGAGAACCCCTGGTCTGAGGTGAAGCAGCAGATCTTCCAGAGTGCAGAAGGAGCCTATGCGGATTCAACTAGGTCACAGCTGCAAAGGCTCTAAGCACGGCAACGTGCACAGGGAAGAGAAGGGCCGTGAAGCCCGGGACAGACAGGAGGCAGGTAAGGCAGGTACTCCCAAAGGCTGTAGCTGGAAAAGACATTTCCTCAGAATCTGTTGGCCTTGGCAGTGAGAAGAGTTGGTCAAAGTAAGTCTATTCTTCTGGAACTTGCCAAGGAAGACCTAGTCTTCAACCAAATTTGGCTCAAGGGTGTGTTCTCAGGGCTGTGGAATTGTCTCATTAGTAAGCCTGGGTCACATCTGTGCTTTCTGAAGCCAAAGTCTAGTTTTTTCTCCCAGAAGGTGGCAACATGGAGGAAAGAACAGCCACTTCCATGGCCTACTTAGTGTTCTGCCTTGTTCCTTGCCCAGCCTGCGCACCCCACCCCAAATCCCACATGAAATTTCATTTTTAAATATCCATAAAATTAAAAGCTGTAGAAGGGCAAAGTAGGCAGCCTCAGCTGTTTAGAACAGAGGAAAAAACAATCTGGAAAAGAGAAAGAAGGAATAACATGGGTGAAGAGATGGGGTATGTGAGCTGAGAGTTTTACAAAACAAAATTTTTAAAGTCTGCACACTTTTTAAAATACATACACATACACATCAAAAAAGCCCATCACCAAGCTCAGTAAGCAGGGCTCCTGCATCAGTGCTCTAGCACCACAACTTTGTTTTGTTTTGGGTTTTAAAGAAATAATTACAAATCGTTTTAAAAGCATCCCCAAATAATTCCAATACATCAAACACTTTTTCATATAGACGAGAAGAAGCTCCAACCACCAGGACTCTTCAGGGTAAGGAACAGTACATTGCAGTTAAAAACAAAAATCTTTCTTTGCAAAAGAAAAAAAGTTTTTTGGATCTCCTTGAATGTAGTACACACAAAAAGTGATGGTTCCCCAGGCTCCATCAGCAATGGAGAAAGAGCAGAGGGCAGGAACGTAGAGATTTCTTTTTCCAGGCCCAGGCCTGTGAAAAACGATGGCTAAGTGTGAGTCCTTAGCAGGGCCAACAGGTGGTCTGCATTCCTGGTTAACCCTCTGGAATCTGGGAGCATGAGTATCTCCAAGAATTCATTTCTATTCAGTAAAGATGGGGAGGGGAATCCTAAAGAAGGCATAAGCCAGAGAGGAGATAAGACAAATATGAGAACCTGTGTGACTTTAGGCCGGGCCGAGCTGCTGTTTACCAGCACAGCCTTCCCTGCCCCCCAGCATGTGGTTCTTACCCACTGTTACTTGTTGAACTGGAAAGAATAGACCCCATGCTCTGAGGGCGCGTCCATTGCCACTTGGTTCTGCTGGCTGCTGCTCTCCTGTGCCATGGCCAAGGAGGGGAGTCATCTTGCATGTTCCTTTCCTCATCTCCCACTACAGCAGCCTCACCAAAGCCCACCCACTGTCAGTGCCCTCCCAGCCACCCACTCTCCACACTCATGTGTGAGTGCTTCCACCCACGGCACCACTTCCCTAACCTTCCTAGCAGTCTGTCCTCTTCCCAAGACACATTTGTCAAAACGAGCCAGCATCCTGGTGTTAACTACTGCCTGACCAAACATGAAGAAGGGCCTCATTCATGAACTCAGACCAAATCCTTCTTTCCTACATCTGTTGTTGTTTTTTTAAATATGAAACGCTTCACAAATCTCCATGTCATCCTTGCACAGGGGCCATAATCCCTGTGTCATTCCACTTTTGCAATGTGTGCGGCTGAAGCAAGGATATCCTTCCTACAGGCTCCATATACCTACCAGCTACCTGTGAACACAGAGCCAGCATCATTGTGAGAGGAAGATCTTGATCAGGGTGAAACCTGCCTCTGTTCATTTTCCTAACCGCAATCCAAAGAAATGATAACACACTTACCTCGACTGAAACACTGGAAGAAGGCACAGGGGCATACTGGGAGAGGTAAGCTCCTTGCATAGCTGCAGCCGCTGGCATATACTAGAAAGAGAAACATCAACGGGCTTACAGCAGTGATTCTTGGCTACATTTGAAGCAGTTGGGGAGTTTTAAAAAAATACTGACACCTGTGTTATGCCCAAGACCTCCTAATTTAATTGACTTGAACATTAGCTTCTTAAAAGCATTTCAGGTGGTTCTAAAGTACACTGGCTTAGAGAGACGTCTCCCTATATGACTTTCTTCTCCTTTTCCTCGACAGGCTCCCTTCTCTACCCTTGAGCCCTTCTATACAAAAAGGAATGCAGTAAGCCTAAAAGAAACCTAATGAGCTTCCTCCATCCTTCCAGGTACTATTTTGATGAGGATTCCTAGGACATGTTTGTATCTTTAATATGCAGACAGAAGCACTATTCATGAGGTGCATGAGTAGGAATCAGTTAAGAGTGGGGTCTGGGGAGCAAATGGCTATATTCCTGGCTCCTGGAGCACTACCACTATAGTTTATGTTCTGTTCTGAGTGTACCCTGGATGACACTGAAGTAATGTCATCATTATTCATAAGTTACTTATCCTGAAGAGTATTACACAGGTATGCCTTGCTCAGAAGGAGAGTTTACAATCAGAAACATCCTGCTTTACCGTGCCTGTGCTGCTCAGGGAGAGGTGGCCCAGTTGCTGGGTAAGAGGTCCCATCATGGAGGCTGGCTGGAGAGAAATAGGATGGTCCATCCCTGGTGTCAGAACTGAACCCTAGAAGCAGCAACAAAAGACAGTGTTAGGCCGGGCGCGGTGGCTCAAGCCTGTAATCCCAGCACTTTGGGAGGCCGAGGCGGGTGGATCACGAGGTCAAGAGATCGAGACCATCCTGGCCAACATGGTGAAACCCCGTCTCTACTAAAAATACAAAAAATTAGCTGGGCATGGTGGTGCGTGCCTGTAATCCCAGCTACTCAGGAGGCTGAGGCAGGAGAATTGCCTGAACCCAGGAGGCGGAGGTTGCGGTGAGCCGAGATCGCACCATTGCACTCCAGCCTGGGTAACATGAGTGAAACTCTGTCTCAAAAAAAAAAAAAAAAAGACAGTGTTAGCTGCAGCATCCTGTGAAGCTGCCTAAAGCAGTGATTGGTGGCTGTCAGGACCACTGGAGACAGACATTTAAGAATCCTGGGAAATGGTAAATGAGCAGCAACCCAACTATGCAACAGGAATAGGAACTCTGCCTGTCAGTGTGGAAGGACCCTCGTCCAAGAATAACAAGCTTAGGTCTTACTTCTGGGTTGCACAAGGGTCTAAGCCAGAGCTCACACCTACATCTCCGGGCATCAAAACCCATTGTTTTTTCTTTTTTTGAGATGGAGTTTCATTCTTGTGCCCAGGCTGGAGTGCAATGGTGCAATCTCGGCTCACTGCAACCTCCGCCTGCCAGCTTCAAGCAATTCTCCTATCTCAGCCCCCTGAGTAGCTGGGATTACAGATGCCTGCCACTACACCCGGCTAATTTTTGGTATTTGTGGTACAGAAGGGGTTTCACCATGTTGGCCAGGCTGGTCTTGAATTCCCGACCTCAGGTGATCCACCCGCCTCGGCCTCCCAAAGTGCTGGGATTACAGGCGTGAGCCACTGTGCCCGGTCTATTTTTTCTTTACATCAAATTGCCTCTTTGGTTTCTGCCCACTTCTGAACACTCACTGAAGGTTGCATGAGGTATGAATGGTGGTGCATCCAAGATAGGTTAGGTACTTGTAGGGGAGATGTCTGAGTCACTCTCTAAAACAAGGAAAAGCAAAAATGTTAATTGCCTGGAAACTACTGTTCAGCCCAAGGATCTGGCCATGTTCAGCAAAGCCCAGAAAAGTTGGAATGCCCCACTAAAAATAGAAACATTAAGAAAAACTGTTTAAAAAATATTAGCAACTCTTAAAACTCAATAAATAAACCAGTGGAAAAAAAGGGCAAAAAGGAGTTCAAAATTACAGTGAGCTATGATTCTGACACTACACTTCAGCCTGGGTGACAGAGAGAGACTCCATCACTAAAAAATGTTAAAAGAAAAAAAAAAAAAGAAAAGGGTTTGGAAAGAAGATATACCGGTAGCCAATGAGTGCATGAAGGAGGCTCAAATGCAAACCAAAACCACAATGGGATACCACTGTATACCCACTAGGATGGCTACAATTATTATTTCCATTTTTTGAAACAGGGTCTTGCTCTCTGTTGCCCAGGCTGGAGTGCACTGGTAGGACTAGAGGTGTGCGCGACTACACCTGGTTAATTTTTGTATTTTTTGTAGAGCCATGTTGCCTAGGCTGCTCCCAAACTCCTTGGCTCAAGTAATCAGTCCACCTCGGCCTCCAAAAGTGCTAGGATTACAGGTGTGAGCCACAGTGCCGGGCCAGCATGGCTACAATGAAAAGGACAGAATGGCAAGTGTTTTATGCTGCTGCTGCTGGTGGGAATGTAAAATGGTGCAGCTACTCTGGAAAATGTGTTAGTAGTTCCTTAAGAAATTAAACATACAGTTACTATGTAGACCAGCAATTCCACTTCTAGGTATATACCCAAGTGAAATGAAAACATATGTCCACACAGAAACTTGTATGTCAATGTTTATTGCAGTATTATTCATAATAGCCAAAAGGAAACAACTCAAATGATGATCAATTGATAATTGGATAGACAAAATGTGGTATACCCATATAATGGAATATTATTCAGCTATAAAAAGAATGAAGTACTGATAAACACTACAACATGGACAAATTTTGAAAACATATTAAGTGAAAGAAGCCAGACAAAAAAACTACATATTGCATGGTTTTACTTATGTGTAATCATACGATCATACAATTTTCTGGGCTTTGCCTATTATGTACAGAATAGGGAAATCTATAGACACAAAAAGTATATTATGGGTTGCAGGGGCATTTCAATTCAAATTGGATTTGAAATAATCCAAAAAATTACATTATTTAATAATTTGGTGCTAGGCCAACTGGTTAACACTCTGAAAGAAAACAGGACTCCTGGCTGGGTGCGGTGGCTCACATCTGTAATGACAGCACTTTGGGAGGTGAAGGTCGCTGGATCATGAGGTCAGATGATCAAGACCAACCTGGCCAAGGGTGAAACCCCATCTCTACTAACAATACAAAAATTAGCTGGGTGTGGGGCGTGTGCCTGTAATCCCAGCTACTCAGGAGGCTGAGGCATGAGAATCGCTTGAAACCAGGAGGCAGAGGTTGCAGTGAGCCAAGATCACACCACTGCATTCCAGGCTGGCGACAGAGCAAGACTCCATCTGAAAAA